AACCGTGCACCTCTTGGATTGCAGTGCAGCTTCTTGCCACAAGGCCACCAGAGCTCGCCATCATTTGATTTCTTAACTTTATGGTTTTATCGGCACTGACTGTGGATCCAAGTAAAATGAAATCTTCGACAAATTTTATCTTTTCTCACAAATATGTGGTCAGAGGACAGGCTGACGACCTTGACTGGCTTACACAATAGTGAGGAAATGAGTTACACAGCTGTGGGGGTTGGAAAGGCTTAGATCTGCGTATGGAATGGTAAGCTGATGACCTCTGCTGGTTCATACGGTTGTAGGAACTGACAGATTTAAAATATACCCATCAGGCAATAGAGTGAGGGTCTCTGCTGGCCAACATCTTGGGAACTGAGGTCAGACGTCCAAAAGATTGAGAAAGGTCAGAAAGAGAATGCATTTTGTCAAAATATTCATTTTTTATCATGGACACAGGTCATGCCCCTAAAGGAACTCCTTTTCTAACGGATTTTCTGTGCATCTCTGATCACAAAATGAGCAGTGAACAAACATAGTATCTACCAAACCACTGAGAATCATAACCTCGTCAAGCTGCTAAAGTAACATTAACCATCACAACTATGTTCCAATAAAACTTTATTTACCAAAACAGGTGGAGGGCCAGATTTGTTCTAAGGGCTATAGCATTTCCTTTTGTTGTTGGGTTTTGGATTTTTAATTTTTTTTTTACCCAATGCAAATATATAATTTGATTTTTTTTTCATTTTTAAGATTGTCATTTGAAAGTTTACAAAGCATATTGGGCTTTCAATCAATAAATCAAGCAATTTTTTTCCACAACAATAACTACAACGCCCACAGCATTTGAACACCTAGACATTTTATGTTGTCTTTCCCATCATTAAATCTAATGTCTATTTTCCATTTATTTATCTTCTACTCTTCCCTTCTCCCTACTCCTCCCTAGTACTAGAATAATTCTATTGTTGATCTTGGTATGTCCATCAAATCACCTGCGACTCATAGCGACTCTATGTACAACATCCCTAAAGCCTGATCTGTCCTGCGCCAATCTCACTGTCTCTGACACACCTACCCTGATTACTCCAGTCACTGAATCAATCCACCTCACAGAGGGTCTTCTCCTCCTGCGCTGTCCCTCCACCCTCCCAAGCATGACATTCCTCTTCAAGGACTGGTCCCTCCTTGCAACATGTCCAAAATATGTCAGACGAAGCATCAGAATCCTTGCCTCCAAGGAGCAGCCTGGTTTAACCCTCTATAGGATAAACTTGTTCATTTTCTTAGCAGTCCATGGTACATTCAACACTCTTCTCCAACACTATATATAGCTCAAAGGCATCAATTCTCCTTCTATCTTCCCTAGTCATTATCCAGCTCTCTGACTCATAACATGCATTTGCAAAGACTATGGGCCCAGATCAGGAACATCTTCGTCTCCACCCTGACGTCATTGCTCTTCAGTACTCTGGAGAGGTCCCTCACAGCTGGCTTTTCCAAAGCAAGTCTCTTGATTTCTTGGCTACCGGTAGCAAAAGTGTTGACTGTGGAGCCAAGCAAACTAAAACTGTTAACTATCTCAATCTCTTCACCAGCCATAATGATGCTGCCAATTGGCCCAGTGGTGAGAACCTTTGTTTTCTTGATGTTGAGCTTCAATCTATATTGAAAGCTGCAGTCCTTGACCTTCTGCAGCAATTGCCTCAGGTCCTCCTCAGTTTCAGCAAGCGGGGTTGTGTCATCTGCATAATGCAGGTTGTTGAAGACTCTTCCAACAATCCTGATGCCACATTCCTCCTTGTACAGCCAAGAGTCCAGATGATCTGGTTTTCATACAAATTGAAAAGGTATGCAGACAGAATACATCCCTGGTGGACACCCTTCCCGATTTTGAACCATGTAGTGTCTCCTTGCTCTGTTCTGACAACTGCCTCTTGGTTCGAGTATAGGTTTCGCATTAGTACAGTCCAATGTTCTGGAATTCCCATTCTTCTCAGAGTCAACCACAGCTCATATTCAAAGACAAAGGTAGGCTCCATAGAACCTTATAATCTCCCTTCTTTCAGCAGCTGGTGCTTCCACTGATTTCCCTCAGCTACTCTAGGTCTGTGAAAGGGCGTGTCCTACCTAGGATCTTGGGAGAGACTTAATGTCAACTGAATCCGGACTCTGGCTCCTTGAGGTAAGGCAGGTTTGAGTTTGAGGGCTCAGGGCAATTTTGGTGTTCCAATTTTGTTTGTTCCCACATGGGGGTCGGCAGAGCAGACATGCCAGATGAACTGGGGGTCTGGCAGAAGGACTTTGCCAACATTTTGGGCGTGCCAGCTTGCTTAAACCCTGAAGAGCCCTCAGGCTTGTCTTTCATTGTTTTTGTTCAGACATTCCTCTAGGTCGTATAGCCCTGGTGTACAAGTTGCCGTACAGCGGTCACTTATGGTTGCTGTGAGGCTGAACACTGTGACACTGATGTGTCAAATGTGTCAATGGCTGGTTACCCAGTGTAGACAGAGAGTGGGGTGGAGCTCCCCGATTAAAACAACCTTAGAAGCAGGAGTGGCATCCACTTCCGTAATAGCTTGCCTCTGGAAACCCTATGAACCTGGAGAGAGGATGAGACAGACCCAATGTTGAGGACTCTCCTTCACAGGGTCGCTATGAGTCGCCTCCGAATCGAATTGACGGCACTTAACAACAACAACAACAATGCTAGGTGTGATCACAGCCATCTTTTTTCCCTCAGTTGGTTTTTAATTCAACCATTCACAAACACTTTGTGCTGTAACATTAATTTCTATACCTGCAATAAAATTGAACTTGCCCCACTCTCTCCCATAATTTTGATTCTCATTACTCGGTCTATCCTTCTCTCCGTGTCTTTCTTTAGTTACACTGTGCTAATTATCTCTTACTGGATATCGGCTTTCCCTTCAACCACTTTAATATCTGTCATTTCATTCCGTTTCTCTACCACTTCCTTTTAGAAGACTTTTCTTCCATGTTGTGATTTGCTCTTCTGTGAACATTTGAACTGAATTCTTTTGTAACTTTCATATCATTCCTCAAAACGGTTTTTTAAAATTTTTGTTCATTTTAATCAAAGTTTACAGAGACTTAGGGTTTCCAGTCATTTGTTGTTGCACTTTTCTCCCTGCCTATCCCCACACCCCCAATTCGCTCTTCTCTTGGAAAAGTAAAAGAAAAATTCTTTCATTGTTATACAGTCCCTCCACCCCCAAGTCTGCTCCACTGTGCAGCCTTCATTCTGGACTCCTGTCATGATAATTATGGGAAGCCAAACTTTATACTTTATATTATATGAAAATCCTTGTTCAAGAATTGAAGGAATTGCAGATTTATAAGTTAGGATTTCTCTTGTGACAGATCATAGAAAATAACCTGTTTGTTTCCTGCAGACAGGAGACAGCAAGGGGCCCCCTACAGAGTGTTACTTCCTGGGAAATACTTCCTGAGCTAGACCGTTAGGCTGACAATAAAGAAAAACAGAGCCTTCATTTACAAGGAATTCCTTTTGTTATTTGCTTCCCCAGATTATCAAAAAATACACAGAGAAACATGACTTGGGGTCTTCAGTTGAGAACTGCTGGCCCCCTGTTTTATGCTCTCTGCTCTATCACATTGCTGGCTGTTTGTCTCTTTATTAATAATTATAAAATTATTCCATTCTTTGGGACCCTCGGTCTGCAACAACATTAATACCTAATCACATATCCCTTTTAAACAGTTCTCTCCCTCATCTGTTTCAGTGCAGTATATATTATTTATCCCCTCTTTCTCTGTCTCCCCCCAACACCGATGTCAGTCCTGTTTTTTAACAGTGGGACTATGCAGTATTTGTCCTTTTGTGATTGAAATATTTCATTCAGCATAATGTCCTCCAGGGTCACCCATTTTGTATAATATTTCATGAGATCCTTGTTTTTCAGTGCAGCATAGTATTCCATTGTGTGAATATACCACAGCTTCTCTATCCAGTTCTTTGTTGATGGGCACTTGGGTTGTTTCCAACACTTTGCTATTGTGAACAAAGCTGCGATGGATCTGCATTCATTCCTCAAAATTCTTAATCTCACACTGTCAGTAGAATTCTATTAGATTGGACGTCTATTAGTCTAGACACCCAGGAGTTCTGAGGGTCTAGTGGGTAAGGAAAGGAAGACTAAATATAAGGAGGAGGTGGGAAGTGAAGATATGAACTGTTGCAACTCTTATAAAATCTCTTGGGGAGCTCCGGTGGCCTAGTGGTAAGGAGTTGCAACTACAATCCCAGAGGCGCACGGTTCAAATCCACCAGATGCTGTGCCGGGGAAGGAGGGACAATCTCCTCCTGTACCAGTCAGATCTGATTTGACGGTACACACACAAAAATAATAATAATTTTAAAAAATATCTTACATAAAAATATCTCTTTTTTTTTTTCGGAGCTCTGGTGGCCTAGTGGCAAGAAGCTGCACTGCAATCCCAGAGGTATGCGGTTCAAATCCACCAAATGCTCTGATGGAGAAGGAGGGACAATCTCTTCCTGTCCCAGTCAGATCTGATTTGACAGTACACACAGAAAAAAAAAGCCAATAAAATAAAATTTTAAAAAGTAAATGAAAAATATATCTTTTTTTCCCAGGGTTTGCCTTTTTATCAACACAAACACAAAGGCAGCTGTCGTCATGGGGTAGTATACACAAAAGCAGAGAATGTGCTCACATTTAGGCCTCTCCCGTTCACCTCCCTTTGGCAATGACTGGAGCAGTAACCCTCCCTAACTCCAGCTTGGAAGGCAGAGGAATGACACCTCTACTCTGGGAAGTCCCCACTTGGGCTCCAGCAGCCCGGGTCCCTACCCCCTTTCCTCCCTGCACCAACTCCTCACCCGTGTACACAGAAGTTTGGGGCTGACTTTGAAAAGCTGCCTCCTTGCTCTGAGAAGACATTCATGAATGACAGTAGACTGGTACGGATCAGTTTTAATTAGACAAACACACAGCCTACTATCCTGGGAATAATAAACTGAAGACAATTCCAATTCATAGTCCCTTTTTCCAGGACAGAGTAGAAGAACCCCAGAGGATTTGCAAGGCTGTCCATCTTCTCAGAAGCACTCTGTCTCTCATCTTTCTGCCACGGGGAAACTGGTGGACTCAAACCTCCCAACTTTTAGTCAGACAGGCCAGTGTTTAATCTGGGGCTTAAATATCTTAGTGCAAGAACAGATCCCTTCTTTCACTAAAGGATCGGTTCTTACACTAAGATCTTTACTTTCTCTTAAAAACCCAACCAAAACCTGTTTTCATTAAATTGGTTGCAGCTCACAGAAACCCCGTGTGTTAGCGACCGAGTAGAACTATCTCCTTGGGTTCTTTTGATTGTAATGTTGACTGAAGTCCAACTTTTCTTCCTCACACCGGACGGGTGTGAACCACTAACCTTTAGTCTAAGGGATGATATAATGTATGTACAAAAAGTTCCTAATCTGTACACTGAAGATCCATATATTCTCTCTTCAGAAAATAAACAAGTCTTTGTTGGAGGTTTGGGGAAAGCAATGCCTACATGCCCCGATCCTGAAGACTTTGCCCTGCCCCTCATTCCCTTCTTGGGGCAATTCCTTCCAGGCATCAGGGCTCCTCCTGGCTAGGCCTTCACCGTCGAGTACACACAGGTGTCAAGCGGCTGCCTTGTAACGTCGGAAGCGCTCTGGCTTAGGGCTCTGGTGTCTATCTCAGCATAGGTCACTCCATGGGCTTCTTCAGCATTGGAAGTCTGGGATCTTTCAGCCTGCAGTTAAGAGAAAAGGATCAGACCCATGGAGGAATATTTGCCCACTAAATCGGAACATACTTTTCTATTAAATCCCAGGCGACTCCTATACCCACTTAGCTCAGAGAGACCCTGCTCCCCCGGGTGGCCACACTTGTTTATGAAGGTTCTTGAGTGACGGCCATGACTTTAAGCCTTTGAAGTGTGGAGCTGGTGAAGGGTGTTGGATGTCCAACGGACCGCCATGTTTGTTCCCAAGACCAAACTCATCGGTGTTGAAGAAAGTACAGTCAGAATGCTTCTTGGAAACTAAGACAATGAAACTTCCTCTCACGTACTTTGGGTAGTTTTATCCAGGGCCAGTCACGGGAGAAGGACATCATGTGTGGTTAAGTGTAAGGTTGGTGAGAAAGAGCAAACAAAGGAGATGGATTAGCACAGTGGTGGCGACAATGGAATCAGGCACATCAGAGATTGTGCGGATGGAGCAGAATCGGGCAGCATTTCATTCTGCTGGACACAGAGTCACCATGGGTCAGTCAACTCAATGGTACGTAACAACAACGGTATGAGAACATTTACAAAGACTTCTACAAGAGTTTTGTTCTTAGTTGTTGCCAAGTCCATTTTAACTCATAGTTGTTATTAAGTGCCGTCGAGTCATAGAGGACTCATAGCGACCCTATGAACGAAAGACCTGAACACTTGTATAACTTTCATCATTTCTCCACATTCATAGAGTTTCTGGAGGCAAGCTATTTTGGAAGTGGATGCCACTCCTGCTTCCAAGCTTGTTTTAATTGCAGAGCTCCGTCAAACTCTGTCCACCGTGGGTAACCATTATTGCATTTGACACATCAGTCTCACATAGTTTAGCATCACAGCAACCACGAGTTACCTTTTTTTTCCACGAGTTACCTTTGTACAGCAAATAGACAGACCAGTGCTGTACCACTTAGCAGAATGTTTGACCAAAACCAATTAAAACCAGGACTGAGGGTCACAGATTAAAATCACTCACCTTTAGCTTGGTAGCATAATTTTCTATCCACTAGGCCAGCAGAGCTCTCTCATTGTTGTTGTTGTAAGTGCCATTGAGTCATAGACGACTCATAGACACTCTACAAATATCAGAGTAGAAATGCCCGATAGGATTTTCTCTCTTGTCAACTTTTTATTGTGATTTGAGGACTGGTCACAGCAATAGGCTCAAGTATGTTAGAGATGGTGATGGTGGCACAGGATAGTACAGGGATTGGGTGTGTTGTTCATAGGGCCACGCCGCTGTGAGTCTTCTTTAACAATAACAACCAGTAGTCTATTGAATTAAAGGTTGGGATGTTAACTACAACGTCATCAATGGAACCCACAAGCCACTTTGTAGGAGAAAGATAAATTATTTGAAAGGCAATATTCAAAAAGGAGGTGACCATCACAGTATCAGAAAAGAAAGACACAAAGGGGTATGGAAAGATCATTGGAAATTAGAATTACAAAGAGGAAGTAGGGAATTTTACAACTATATTGACTAAGGAGGATAGAAGGAGAATTGATGCCTTTGAGCTGTGGTGCTGGAGAAGAGTATTGAATGTACCATGGACTGCTAGGAAAACAAACAGA